GAACGCAAACAAAAATGAAGGGCAATTTTAAACTTGGGCTCCCTTTGGGATACGCCCAAGTAAAAAACAAAGTTTGTGTTGTTAACTTGCTTGCTGCCATTTTTGGCGACCGAGGGATCAAGGGTCTTAGAGACTTCTGCCTTCTTCTGCCGCGCGCTCCTATAATTAAAAATGAGTTATGGCAGAAAAACGGTGAAGTAAAAAAGTCCTGTACATTGCCCAGACACAGCTGTTTTTCACCCATTCAGCGACAAATCAAATCAGTAATCAGACTGAATTAATTGCTAATGCATCAAATTCATGGGAAGTTAGTAAATCGAATTATTGTTCTTGATCGTCATAATAAGATGGATCTTAGCAATTAGTGACGTCATTAATGACTGTAGCGGAGCCGCATTGTGGCACAGCAGAAACAAAAAATGTAGGCTGCATCAACTACAGCCCTTAGATGGATTCCGTCCACAGTCTAAGGAATGATCAGTCTTTTCTTTCTTTTCACGAAGGATTCGTCGAATTAGAGGAACTCACCAGTTGCGGTAACGAACTAGTTTGGAAAGAACGAGCACGATGGATTAAACTCGAAGAAGATGTTGAAGAATGTGCGGATCGATGGGGGAAACCTCACATTCCCTGTCTTACGTATCGAAGCTTAAGAGAAGTTGAAACAAATCTTCAAAACGGCGCTATTCTGTTAGACCTTCCAAGAGGAAGTTTACCTTCTATTTCAGAAGCAGTAGTTGACGAAATCAAAGTACTGAAAAATCTTGGAAACGAGGAATGTCGCACAATAAAAGCCGCTTTGTTGGCAAGACATGAACATCAATATCAGCAAAAAGGAGGAAAGCATCGAAAAATTATTGCCAGGCGTCTTTCAAGAATCATGCCTCAAGGAAAACGTCTCGTACAGCCGGCGAATACCCATCAGGGTTGTTCACAAAGTGTTCAAGAAAATGATCCCAGGCAGGAAACCAAATACGAAGATGCAAGTGACCCTAGGTATGTGACAATTTCTTTGTTTTCGTATAGCTTTAATATATATAGCTCAAGCCAAGCCCAAAAGCAAAGCTTCGTACTTTTTTTTTAGATGCAATTTTATTTACATGACGAACACCTACACTACTTACAGTACTAATATTACACTTACATTTACACTTACAATATACTTGCTACTTACACTATCCGCGACCGTCCCTTTCACGCTCGCTGAATAAGAGATTGAGAAATGCTCCGCGCCCAGAAGTTCAACGTTTCACTAAAGACCCGAAACACTGAAATTTGCTTTAAATAACGATTCCAATTATTTCTAGCCTTGGTATTAAACTTCACGCTTTAGAAAATTCGAGAGAACCGAATTGTCAATTTGACATTTGCAGTTGTGTAAGCGCTCTTATCAGCTAAGTTCTTTCAAAAAAGTTCTATTTTTTTATCTCAAGAAACCACGAATATTCTTCTTTTAGTCTTGTCAGGAATTTTATTATCCATTTGTTTCACAATGTTCTTTCAAAACTTCGGAGAAACGAAGAAGCGTTGCAATTTTGTCGATCACACCAAGCCAATAAACAATACGGAGTGTTTCAGTCGAGGAACTATCGGCTGATAGTTGCCCCGCGGAAATGTTCTTAAACAAATATTTGCCCGAGAAGCGAAGCTTCCAGGGCAAATATGCTAGTTTTAAGAACATCAAATTTCCAAGGGGTAACTATCAGACCGATAGTTCCGAGACATAAACACTCTATTGTCTTTATTGTTCACCACTAAATTTTCTTCTGCGCGCCAGTTCAAAAATCATATTGAATTATTTTCAACTTTTTGACAAGAAAGCTGTGAAAGCCAAATGTAAAATTATAAAAAGGAAACAAACAACAACCCTCTTAATACAAATTCAATTGTTTATTTTCTATAAGTCCGCTTGTTTACAGAAATATTTTGTACATTGTCCCAATGTGAGTTTTAACTCTCTGAGCTCGGAACTGTTAACATATGTCAAGTGAACTTGTACATGTAGTGGGAAGATGTTTTGCTGCTGTACGTAATGACTAAGCCTGTTTAAATACATAACGAGATCAACAACTGAGTCCCACGGGGTTGTCAGTTGTTTTTGAGTAGCGGGTTCCATACAAAAAGTGGGCGGCTAAGGTTCTTTACGTGAAAAACATGTCGTGGAGCGGCTGGGCCAGACGCGCACTGCGCATTGTTCGGGAAGAGTATGGGAGGGGGAAAATGTGTGAAAAATAATTCCCTGAGATACAGTGTGGGTCTAGTTTCAACAAACATTGTGCACATTTGTAGATAATTTTCGCACTCTTAATTGATTATCCTCAAATCGGGTTTTCATATAAAAGACACAGCAAAGAGGTTAGGGAGGATTGACTCACTCAAGCAAATCGCTCTAAAAAACAAACAACTAGAAGATTTCAATAATAAGTGGAAATATTTTATTTAAGTTTCGCCACCTTACTATTGTTTTTTTTCCTGTCTTCTATATTTTCTTCATTTCTTTTTATTTGATACAATGTAAATCACACTTGCGCCGTTACTCTGCATATGGTATAACTCTACTGTATTGTATTTGTATTTTGTGCATAAGGAGGCAAGAAAGATTTGCAAGAAAGTTTATTTAAAGATGTCTTATCCTTCTTTCTTTGTCATGAATTTTATTCCTTTAATGGTATTGTCATTTCTAATAGTGTTAGCTAAAATTTTCCCGCTTACAACAAAAAGAGAACCTGAGAGCGGCAATGTTGACGGACACCCGTTTCTCGTTTGAAAAACTCAGATGCGCATCCATTGTTGATAAAGCAGCTGGAGCAATCAGATATAAAAAGATCTAAACCACTTTTAAATACAAGGGCATAAATTAAAAGCTTTAAGTTTACATGCGTAGTTGAGACTTTGTACCATTTCTTCTCCTAGTAGAGACCAGAACAGTAAATAGAATTCTACAGAAAGTCCATCTGTTCCTGGGGTTTTAGTTTCGGAACACTGTTCTGATATGAGAAAGCACTCTTCGTTGAGAAGCGGACGCTAAAGTTCCTCTTGTTGAGTTGCTTCGAGTTTAGCAACATTTGAAGTTTCAAAGAGTAGTTTATAATTCGAGTCATTACAGGTTTTTATAGAACATTTTTCCTTGTTCCAGGATTGTTTTAGGATCGTTGATCTCCATATCGTCGTTTGTTTTAAGCTTTGAAATGTGTGATTTACAATGTTGTCTTTTTTCCATGATCAAAAAATGTTTAGTTTTTTTTTTTCGCCATTTTCGTGCCAACATATCCTGCTTCTTATCATAGCACCTTTTGATATGTTTTCTTTTTTTT